CCCACTTTCGTGGTGCTTCACCTTTTGTCAATCGATCTCAGTACCTAAACTGTCGTTTGGACTGAGATGCGATGACAAACATTAAAACCAAGTCCGATATGTCCTCAAAACACCCCAATATCTAATTTTGCTGATTAGGCATGCAATGCTCATTCATAACAAATCTAGCAACCTATTACACGATTGATGAACAGGTTAAACCTAGGATCTAACAATAAGTGGCCAGTTTAATGCAAGCAATATGAATAGTTATGAATAAAAACAATTGATTGTTACTTATCTAAGTTTAGCTCACGAATCTAACACCCTAAAACCCTAGACTATTCAAGCTGACTACTCAACCATGAAGAAAGATAACACAGAGACAGAGATATAAAAACATAAAATATGACTGAAATAAGTAACAGGATTCAGGGGGTTTTTCTCTAAATCGAGAGAGATGACCTTCTCCCTTTACAAAGTAGCAAAAATCTCAATCTCCAACTCTAGGGTCTGGTTTCTTCGCTAGAAAAATAGCGTAGAATAATAAAAAGAAACAGAAAAAGATGATATATGAAAGTTGCTAGCGGCCAAAGAGAAAAATTGGGATGCTTAGGGCGAATCCCGAAATATTTGGAAACTCCCTCCAAAATCTCTGCCGCAGGTGCAGTCACTCGAGTAGTTCCGCTCAATCAGGAACAGCCTGTAAGATTGTTCCGCTCATCAGGAACAGTCTGTAAGGTTGTTCTGCTCATTAAAATCTCCAAATTGCACTCTTTTGCTCCAACTGGTCCATCTTCCATCCAATGCAACTCCAGACCTGTAATGACTCGAAAAGGACTAGAAAAACTCGACAAAGACTTGAAAATCAATTAGAAAAAAATGTTAGAATATGCCAAAAACACAACATATTACTAAGGATCGAGATCTCTAGATTCACTCAAAGGAATCTTAAGAACTTTGGAGAAGCATGGGAAAGGTTCAACAGCTACATTTCTCAATGTCCTCATCATGGCTTCAATATGGAGAGTTTTTTAGTACTTTCTACAGAGGAGTTTTGCATAAGTATAGAGGCCAACTTGACACTGCTAACAATGGTTCCTTCTTGGGAAGAACTGAAGAAGAAGCTTTGGAGCTTGTGGAGAACATGGCTAGAAGTGATTCAGTCTACAATGATGATCATGATAGGAGCAACAGAGGCAGTGGAGGTGAAGATCAGAACACTAAGAAAGAGTTGAAAACCCTACAAGATAAGATTGATATGCTCATCTCAGCTGGAGCTAAACCAAGAAGGTTAACTTTGTTGGTAAGCAGAACCAAGAGGGAATGATGTGGTTAATGAGGTTGATGGTATAGAAGGACAAGAGGATTATGCTTTGTCAATGCTAATGGGACATGGTACAAGAAGGAACCTAACTTTCAGGACAACAACTATAAGCAACGATCTTACTCCAACAACCAACAAGGTGGTTATCAAGGACAACAAAACTACCCTCAAGGCTACTCCTCCAAAAGGACCCAGTCTACACAAAACCAAGCTGGATCATCCACTTCTTTTCCACAAGAGAGTAGTACTGATGCTATGTTGAAGCAAATCTTGGAATCTCAAACTAGAAGTGAGAAGCATGTGGGATATGAGCTGAAGAATCTACATTCAATGATTGATGGAAGCTACAATGAGCTCAAGAACAAGTTCAAGGCTCTAGAGAATCAGTTTGCCTCCATGAGTTCTCACTCTAGTAGACAACAAGGATCACTTCATAGGAAATCTGAGCAAAAATCCAAGGAGACAATGAAAGCCATAACCCTCAGAAGTGGCAAAGAGTTGCCTCCAAGAGCTCTCATTAAAGATAATGAGAAACAAGTTGGGGAGGTGGTCATCAATGTAGATGATGATGTGGTGATAGTTGATGAGAAATCTAATAAAGAAATCTTGAAAAAGATAGTTGACGCCAAAGGAAAAGGAAAGGTATGAGAAGAAAAACTTGTGACCAAGAATGAAGCTGCTACTTCATTAAAAGGAGCTCCATTCACTCCTCCACCTTATGAGCCAAAACTTCCCTTTCCTGTAAAGTTCAAGAGACAGCTTTTGGAGCAGTACAAAGCTTTGTTTGAGAAGCAGATGAGTGAAGTTCAGATCACATTATTGAGCCATGAATGTAGTGATATCATCCAGAGATTAACTTTCCCAAAGAAGCTTGGAGATCCAGGGAGTTTCACTCTACCTTGTGTTGTTGGACCCTTGAAGTTTGAGAGATGTCTCTGCGACTTGGGATCTAGTGTCAGCCTCATGCCGTTGTCTATTGCTAAGAAGCTTGGGTTTACTCAGTACAAGAAGTGTAGGCTCTCTTTGGTGTTAGATGATCGCTCTGTAAAGATCTCCATAGGAATCTTGGAAGATCTTCCTGTGATGATTGGGAGTTGTGAGATTCCGACAGATTTGTGGTGCTAGAAATGGATGAAGAGCCTAAGGAGCTTTTGATCTTAGGGACACCTTTCTTGGCTACAGCAGGAGCTATTGTGAATGTGAAAAATGGCAAGATTGATTTCCATCTAGACAAAGGAAACATCCTACACTTTGACATTAAGGAGGTGATGAAGAGACCAACCATTCAAGGCCAAATGTTTTACATTGAGGAGATGGATGCTCTTGCTGATGAGTTCCTTGAAGAATTGCCACTTGAGGACTCTCTACAACATGCTTTAACAATTGATAGAGAAGACCAACTTATTGAGGATAAGGAAAGCAATGAGCTTGTAAGGATATGGATGTGGAAGGAGAGTTTATAGAGCTTCCTCAAGTGGTTCATCATGTTGCTTCAGCTGGTCTACAAGAGAATCTTCTAGAAGCTGATTGGAGTGAGTTAACGCACCAAAAGTGGAGCTTAAACCTCTTCCCCTTGGTGTAAGGTATGCATTTCTTGGCTCTAACAACACCTATCATGTCATTGTGAGTAGCCAACTAAATGAAAATGAATTGTCAACACTTTTAATTGAACTTAAAAGTATAGAAAAGCAATTGGCTACTCACTTGAAGACATCAAAGGGATATAACCTTCTTTGTGCATGCATAGGATACATCTTGAGGATGAATCAATGACTTCTATAGAAAATCAAAGAAGGTTGAATCTCAACTTGAAAGATGTTGTAAAGAAAGTGATTCTAAAACTCTTAGATGATGGTGTTATATATTCAATCTCTGATAGTAAATGAGTATCTCCTGTGCATGTTGTCCCAAAGAAAGGTGGTATCACTGTCATTAAAATGATAAGGATGAAATAATAACAACTAGAACCATAACATGCCATAGAATGTTTATTGATTACCGAAAACTTAACTCAGCCTCTAGAAAAGATCACTTCCCATTACCTTTCATTGATCAAATGCTAGAGAGGCTTGCAAACCATCCTTGCTATTGTTTTCTTGACGGGTACTCGGGATTCTTCCAGATCACCATACATCCAAATGACCAGGAGAAGATAACTTTCACATGCCCTTATGGTACCTTCACTTATCGAAAGATGCCATTCGGGTTATGTAATGAACCAGCTACCTTTCAAAGGTGCATTATGTCAATCTTCTCCGACCTCATTGAGGATGTAGTGGAGGTATTTATGGATGATTTCTTAGTGTACGGATCTTCTTTTTTCTGCTTGTTTGTCTAATCTATGTAGGGTCTTACAGCGATACGAAGATACAAACCTCGTTCTCAACTGGGAGAAATGTCATTTCATGGTGAATGAAGGGATTGTGTTAGGACACAATATCCCAGAGAGGGGCATAGAGGTAGACAAAGCCAAGATTGTTGTCATGGTTGGGTTAGCTCCACCAAAGACAGTTGAAGACATTAGAAGCTTCCTTGACCATGCTGGGTTCTATTGAAGATTCATCAAGGACTTCTCTAATATTGCTAGACCATTGACCAAGTTTTTGTGCAAGGAAGCTACCTTTAGCTTTTATGAAGAATGTCTTGAAGCCTTTAAGAAGCTGAAGAGTGAACTCATTAATGCTCCCATTGTTCAAGCACCAGATTGGGATCTTCGAGCTTGTAATTTATTTGCTTCAAAATGACTTAGAACTTTGATTGACAATTAAAATACTACTTTGATTTGCATAAGGACTTAAAAACCCCTTTATCAGATAACATTACCAAAACCGTTTAAATAATATCTTTGGCGCTTAAAGTTTAATTGTCCGCTAAATATTGACGGAATTAGTGATTTTATCTTTCCGCCCACTTAATTTTCAAAATAGCGCTAATTAAATGCTATTTTAAGTTTCATTTTATCATAACGTTTATCTAACACTATTATATAATATATTTATTTTTAAATTTTCAATGATAGCAATTCAGTAAAATGTGTTATAAGAATATATTAACAATATAGATTTTTTTTGTAGTGACATGACTATCAACGAATTTTGTGCTTAAATTCATTTGTTCTTTGACCCAACATTTTCCTTTCATAAACACAATATGCTCCAAATTTTTATTTTCGAATGTTATGTGATTGTAAAAACCAAAAAAATATGTTGCTATATTTTTTAACAAAGAAAATTATATATTTGTAGAATTATTTCATTCCACGCAGGACGCAGAACCAAACTAATAAAAAGTAAAGATGAAATGTTTCGAAAAAGAAAGTAAATATGTAGATACGTCATCGTCAATGGTGGTTGCTATAGCACCATAAAGAATATTTCCAAAACAGATCAAGAAAAAGACCCTGCCTTAGTTCCTAAGCTGCTACAGTTTCCACCATCAAACAATAAACAACTCTATCCCATGTGGAAAAACTCCTTTTTGTCAACGTTTAGGAAAGACAAAACATTATCCTCGAATCGTTTTTTAGTTTGGTGCCCTTTGTGCTGTCTGATTTAAGAGTTCAATTAGACCCACATATAACAAATAACGTGTCGTTTTATTATCTTTCTAAGAACAAAATTATTATTTAGTGTGTGTATAAATAAGCTAATAACCTTTCTTTCTTCTCTTCACTACTAGCTAGTTCGAGTTGCATAAAAAATGGAGAATAATCTGGTGGGATATAGATTTAGTCCTACTGGAGAGGAACTGGTCAACCATTACCTCAAGAACAAGATTCTTGGTAATTCATGGCTCGTCGACCATGCCATTAGCGAGGTCAACATCTGTCGTTACGAACCATGTTTTTTGCCTTGTAAGTTCATCTCTCTCACTCATTCTTTCATCGATCATTTCTTAATTTGTTCCTTTGGTTGCAGCGTTATCGAAGCTCGAATCGAAAGATCTTGTATGGTACTTCTTCTCCCCCAAGGAGTATACGTCTGCGAAAAAGAATGTAACGAAGAGAACTACACCTTCTGGATATTGGAAAGCTACTGGGGTTGATAGAAAAATCAAGGATAGGAGAGGAAATGGTGTTGAGATTGGTATTAAGAAGACGCTTGTGTACTATGAAGGTAGGGTTCCTAATGGAGTATGGACTCCTTGGGTCATGCACGAGTATCACATCACTTCCTTGCCTCTTAATCAGGTAACACTTCCTCAAGAGTTTTTATTTTTATTTTTTGTTTCTCCCCAAAATTGGTTTTGCTATCTCAAGTCTCAACTACTATTTCGTTTGTTTCATTTGAGCTTTTATTTATATAGTCTTTTTCTTTTTTATCACTATATTTATATATAGTCTTTTTCTTGTGGAAATCGGGTTTAATTCTTTCTTTTCCTGATCTCTTTGATAAGGCTTTAATTCCCCTGTGACGTTACTACTACTACCTCAATTTGAGATTATATGTATTAGTTGAATTTCTGATTTACTCATGACCTTATATTAAATAAAGCTTTTTAACTCAAAACTAACTGAAAAAACTAAGTCTATCGGTTTTCTTATATATCACTTCGTTATTTATGCAAGTCCAAAAAAAGCCACTAATAAAATATGGGTTTCTGATCCGAACGTAAAATGAATGTATGGGATTTGATTCATCTATCTCTAGGCTAGTTGTTGGCTGTGATTTGTCTTCTACTGGATGCCAACTTAAGCTCAATTTGGGATTAATTATGTATTAGTTGGATTGGGATTTTGGTTTTTTTTTTTTTTTTTTGCTACCGTTGCAGCCATGATCTTCTTAATATATATACGAATTGAGGAGTTATCATTGACAATAAGTAGGCTGAACTTTATTTTTTCCCTAGATGCGTCCGCACGAAAATATATTTTTTATAATTATTTATATTTAATTTTTCTGATCAATTGATAAAATATTATTAAAATTTGGTGTTTTATATTATGGAATTTAATATGTCTTATTCGATATTATTAATATAGAATTATTGATAATTTCCTTCATATTATTATTTTTATGAAACAACATATGTTAATATATAATTTATTTTTATGTTAATATTTTATTTAAATTTAAAAAAATATAATTATATAAGAATCAAAATAGAAAACTTTATCTATTTAAGCCGTAAAGTTTTTAATGTTTTCTAATTAAAATGAATTAGATTTTTTATAGAATTATTTTAATGATTTGTAATTTAAATAATCTAAATTTCTTTTATTTAATTTAAAAACATAAATAATCAACTGTAAACTAAAAAATCATATAATTAAATTATATAATTTTGTACTTTTTAATAATTATTTTTATTAAACTTAAATTTTATTTTTCTAATTATATATTTAAATTTACAAATTAAAATAATATATTATAAAATAATTATTGTTTTTATTTGAAATTTAAATAATTATATAAAATTTCGAATCAAAAGATTTTATAAGGTTTTGTTAAAGTAAAATAAGAAATATTCAAATATATAATATATAAATATTCTCCTAATATAATAAAATTTACTAATGAAGTCCAATGTCTTTTTATCAGTAGATAAAGATAGGATTCTATTTTAATAAACTAGATAAATTACTTTATTATATTCCAACCAGTGATCTAGGCTTTTCTTTCATTCACAAAATATGGGGTTTGACTGTTGTCTCTGGACTAGTTGTTTGGCACTGATTTCCCGTGTGGTTGATACTATCTTTAGCTCAATTTAATGGTTAAAGGTTATAAAAGTTGTGGCCCCGTTGTTTATTTTATAGCTTGTGAGTTTTGTTTTGCTTGTGATAGAGTTGTCTTAAGTGATTTGTATTCAATTTTGTTTTGCTTCCAAAGAACTTATATGTTTGTAACTTTCTTATTTGCTTCAGAGGACCTATGTAATATGCCAAGTAATGTACAAGGGTGGTGACGGAGACAGTTTTTATGGTAAGAACTCGAATGAACCAAGCAGCTGTATGGTCTCTGATTCCAATATTGTCAGAGTCATTAACACATCGCCTGAGGTGCGTCCAGCTTGTCACAATGGTTTTTATTTATTCATTACTGTCACTAACCCGTTTCTTGACATGTTCAGGTTGAGCAGCAAGGTCAAGAAGAAGGTATGTCTATAAATGACTTGTTAATCCCACTGAACCAACAAGAGGATCTCTCTCCCTGTGATGCGTTCAGTTCAAACATGTTTTTTAGAGTCAACAACAATTACAACCCACAAACTCCCTACGGTGATGATTATTGGAATGAGTTGCTGGATTATAATGGCGGGAATTTCGAAGATGTGTTTCGCAATCAAGACCTCATAATGCAAGAGAACCAAAGCAATCACAGGCCAAAGAGACCTTTGACAGGAATCATTGTTGATGATAGCTGCAGTGATAGCGATGCTGAATCCATATCTGCAACAGTAAAATTATTTGACTCGTTTTCCTTATCAATATTGTAGCATTGATAAGAGTAGTCTTGTATTCACTGCTTTATGTTCTAATATGACCAGAGTTACCGAGGAACATCAAGTCCGTGTGATAGCGATGGTAGTCTAGACGAGATTATGTCGTTGAGGAAAGGCTCTTCAAAAGAAGTACAAACTTCTATCAATGGAAAGACCAGGGAGTCACGTTTCACCCGACGCACCATATCATCAAAACAAGAGGTCATGAGCTGCTCATATGTTAATTTTTGTGGCTATTTTCTTATAAATATAATGAATTTTGAAGGATAATGATGTTGTTGTTTCCTTTCCAGGTGAAAGAATGTAAGTCTAAAGCCAATGATGATGCATCCCTGGACAAGAAGGCATTATCATCTGTAGTGAAGACAGAGAAGAAGGGCTGGTTTATAACAGAGGAAGCAATGCAGAGAAAGCACAAGAATCCACCGTATATCTATCTCATGAACATGATCATAGGACTCATCCTCTTGGTGGCTATCATTGGCGACATGCCGACATCATATCGGTTTTACTAAGGCTCAGAAATTGAACCTGCTGATGAAGTTTTACTGGAAGGAGAGGCCAAGCAGATGGATCGAAGCACTCGTTTTTAATTGGATGTGTAATAATATATATACATATGTCGGTGTGTGTATGTATGAACTTCTATAGGTGAAACTCAATTGTTCTTTACCTGTATATATCTTATAGGTGTTTTCTTGTGACTAAAGTTAAAAGTGGAATACATTTTCTATATGGTATCAGAGTCTCAGATCTAAAACCCTAAATACATCTTTATTATTATTTAAAAAGTAATTTTGTTTAATTTTCAATTTCTCGATGATTTTAGGTAATTTTGCTTGTGACTAAAGTTAAAATTGAAATATAAGGCTTGTAATTTGGACATAGTGTACACGAAAACTGCTGACTAGTTTTGTAGAGTTTAAGGTCGATATCTTTAAGACTGTTTGATTATGACATAGGATTGATTTGTTGTTGTTTCCGTTTTAGGTGAGTCGAGCTCAAGCAAACACACAAAACCAAACGATTTGTTCAACCTGTGGTCGCCGAAGCTATTCACAAAGGGAATATGGAGTTTCTCAACTGCCTCCACTATTTCTTAATCAAGATTTCATTGTCACAACAATGGTGACTCCCAAAACAGAGTATGTTATCCAGGGGCAAAGGCAATGTGTAACAAGTGGGGTCAGCTGAGCTGACCATACTATTTTTAAAAAAAAAAGTTTTACTTAAGAAAAATTTGTAAAACATATGTTTTTGCTTAAGAAAATTGTATTGACCCCACTAAAGATGAAAAGAGATAGCTCACTATCGGATCCTCAATATTAAGCCGGTATATCACTCTCGAAGTTGTCCTCTCTAACTGCTCTCCAGCACATTAATTCTGTCAAGCTTCACTCTAAGTCATATTCTCTTTCTCTCTCTGTGCTTTCTCAGATCGTTGATTTTTCTTGTCAAGTTGAAGATACCGTTATAACAAACTTATCCACATTAGATGAAACATGATGTCTTGGGTTTTTAGCAGTTTTGGCCATGATAGAAACCCTATTTAGAATTTTTATTATGTATTGCGAATCTATTTTAAGGTGTTTTAAGTTTAGTTATGTTTTAGGAAATTTTGGAGATTTTGGAATTCTTTTAGATCTTTTTGAGATGTAGAGCTGTGCAGATGTAATAGAAGTTTAGCAGTAGATTGAGAACTTACCACAGTGCGATTTAGTTTATATTTTGACACAAGATATATCTTTGCTAGCTTCCATTGCCACCGGTTTAAGGTCAATCAAGATCCTGAATCAAAAGTTATGTTCGTTTTACTAAAGAGTAGTCTGACTAATGCGCGAGCAGAAGCCACTGAGGATTCAGGTTTATGAAGAGCGTCAACCGACACCACCTGAGCAACGAACGACGCATATATTGATCAACTACCGACTAGTTTTTCTCAACTTTCAAGAATTAATTATAGTTTGACCCAGAAATTTTCCTTATTTACAAAGAAATTCCTAGCATGTTTTATGAAGAGCGTCGATCTACACTACCTGAGCTACGAACGACGCCCATCTTGATCAACACCCGACTAGTTTTTCTCAACTTTCAAGAATTATAGTTTGACCCATAAATTTTCCTTATTTACAAAGAAATCCCTAGCATGTTTTTAATCTATATTGTCTATTTCTAAGCCATTTTTGAGGGATACATTTTCTTTTAGATTTGGAGATAAGAGACAAACTCCATAAGAATTTTCTTGGAACTCTACTGGATTTATATATTATGTTTATTCATTCTATGATTATGTTTGTATTTATCATGTCTGAGTAATCACCATGTTAAATTTAGGAATTTTCTAGGGTTATGAAAAACTTGTGATTTATGAAACTACTAGGATAATCCATTGTCTCCACTACCAAGATTCTTTTTTATTTTATTTTGAAAGACCTTTACCAAGATTCATCTTACTGCATGTTTCTATAGTAATTGGAATATCGCGAGTGTGACTTCTCACCTAGAAATTTAGATCTTACGATAGTTAGAATAGCATGAGAGTGTGACTGAAAACTTAAACGAATACTGCTGAGCTAGATTGTAATTCACAACGAGAGCTGGTGTTGAGAATTTAGTGAACATATCGAACTAGATCATTAATGCTTGTCTGAGAAATTTATAATGCAACGAGAGTTGAACTTTGAGGATTTTAGACATAGACAGTTTACCGCAGCAAGATTTGGATAACTAATAATTGAATTCAAGTTCTAGAACTGAGCCTAATAAAACCCTTAACAACTATTTTTCTTTGTTTTGATTGCTTGTTTGATATCCCTATATCTAACACTTTTTCCATATGTTTACAAACTCCATTTACTCTATGTTGTTTACCACTTTCTTATTTAATGCATAGCTTAATATGATAAAAATATGTCTATTGAGTGAAATGTTGATCGCTATGGATATGCTCCTCAAGTAATACACCGATTTTCTTATTTGAGAGACGTATTTGAAGGTTAATTTGAGCACATCAAATATGGTGATGTTGTCAACGATTCTGATAGGATTTCATTTTCAGTTTACTTACTATTATTTTCTTATGTTTCAGATTCACACATCTAACTACTGGGAACAACAATGAAAAGAGGCTTATTTGGTCTTTCAAAGTAGGAGCCTGGTTATTTAAGTGCGATCCATAAGTCTAAAGGTTAGCATCGAACGACGCCACAAAAGCATTGAATTACATACATTGGACAGAAGCGTAAAACACGCTTCTATAGCTTCGATAGACGTCACTCAACGAAACGCAAAGATGGTTGTTCAGAAGGTGTTTATTTAGAATGAGGCTAGAGACCTGCATGATCTAGAGGGTCATCTGTGTAATGCAGCATATCAGATGATAGATAATCAGGGGACAATAATCTCTGATGAGATTGTTGTTGCTGTGAAAGACTTTAAGCTGGACCGCAACTGGTAAAATTTGGTGGGTTTGCACCCTTTTCAGGGTCTCCCTCTGGAAGACCCTAGAAACCATATTAAAGAACTTGAGGATCTTGTCTTGAACATCGAGCTGCATGAAGTCTTTAGCGACTACATACTCTGCAAGATTTCCCCCCACTCTCTCTCTCTGGGGATGCACATAGTTGGCTCAAGCAACTGCATCCAGGTTTTCTAACCTGCTGGGAGGACACTTACAGCGCCTTCCTAAACGAATTTCTCGATAATTTCGTATCTCCTCAAAAGAGCAAAATGGAGGCTACATTAGAAATAATATGAACATATACTTCAAAGAGAAATAGGATTATGTCCATATTTAGCTTAATGTGAAGACTGAAACTTTAAACACTCATGTCAAAAAGCTGGATTCGGTCTACACTGAGCTAAATGAGAAGTTTTAAATTTAGAGTGATCATGTCAAGAAGTTGGATGGTCAAGTTGTACAGATTTATGGGTTTGTCAGTAGGGAAGAAGGACTCCTTCCTACAAGGACTGACGTTAATCCAAGGCGCTCTATTAGTGCTGTCAGACTAGGAAGTGAGAAACAACTAACCCTAGATTTAAATAGGGAAATTACTATCGAATATTATTTTGAACTAGAGGATGAACAAGATCCTGAAGATTTAGGTTGAAAAAAAACACTAGAATAGAGCATAGTAAGACCTCCTCTAGCATCTATGGACGCCCTACATGAAAGAACACAAAGGCTTCACAAAAAGCATGCATTGATCGACACCCATCTAGCGTCAATCAATGCTTATGGGGACGCATTGCCAGTTTGCATGATTGAGTCGGGACCGGTTGAGGAGAGAGTGTAAAAGCCATAGGTCCCATACTCGCTCTCCCTAAGCATCTGAAACCATCTGCCAGTGCTAAAGAGTAGACTAGATTTAACAAGAGGGTCAATATGATTCTTGAAGGTGTATCCTTTGAAGATGCTTATGACACATACAACTTCCAGAAATTCTGTAAGAACTCTAAAGAGACCATGGAAGAGATCAATGCACTATATGTTGAGGCTAGAAAACCAGCTGCAAAGGTCAAAAACTCAGAAGGCTATAAGACCCTGAAAAATTTGTAGTTCCATGCAATATTTCAAGAGTTGAATTTCCTGATCCTATTTGTGAATACATTATCTAGAGTTAATACTGTGTCTAAGGACATTTCTGAGAAACTAGACTTATCACTAAAGTTCCTAATTTTAAACCAACTCTTGCAAATCTCTCTAGCCAATCTCCACTTGGTGTTGTCAACAATCTAGAAGTTAATGTTGGGAACTGCATGGTCCCGTAGACTTTTATGTGCTAGATATGGGAGATTCATCTATGCCTCCTCTTTTTGGAAGAGAATTTCTAGCTACAGTGGGTGCAGCAGTTAACATGCAAAGTCATTTCATACACCTAGTTTATGTTTCTGTACTATCAAACTTGTTTTTCATTTTAAAAACACCTGAACTTTAACTTAAGACTTTTTTTTTGAAACAATTAGAACTTATATATAGTGATAATTTTTACTTGATTTAAATAAAAGGAAAACATCAATTGTATGCTGCCAGTGAAAGTCCTAACATGTCTAAAAAATTGTCATGAATTCAGAAACAATGATTTTCGTGAAACTGAAATCAGAGAAGTATAAATGCCTTCTCATAAGGGAGCGGGTTAGGTTTATACGAGTTCTTTTAATTCTTGTAGCTAGTTCAGCTAGAAAACAAGTTTGATTCGAAATAAATCTACCACTTAATGCATAGCTGCAATTGCAACAAATGAGTGTAAAATAATTCCCAGGTTAAACATATACCATAGTAAGATTTTCACTTCAATTTGTACTCCAGTTAAATATGGAGGAGTGTTTCTCACAATCCTTTTGTGTCTAAACAGTGTCTTGCTTCTTCAGTACAGATGGTGAGTGGGAAAAAATTGACGGTGACAATCAAACCAACTTGTCTTCCTACTATTTTTCAATTGAAACGCATCTGTCATTCCATTACAATATAGATAGGATAATCTCCCATGTGTAGTCCATTCAGACAACATCACATAAGCATGAAAATCACTTATGGTCCACAAATGCATCGCGCGCATCGTAAAATTTGCTTTCGTTGAAAAATCATACGTCCTCACCCCTGTTCCCCTGTTGACCATAAATCTTTCAATTATCAATGGTTGTAGAAAAACATCGAGAGACCTTTTTGTATGCTTCGGACAAGGTATTATTATGGTCAAGAATAGAAACTCTCGTTGCATACACATCTCTGGTGGCAGGTTGTATGGCATAAGAAAGAGTGGCCACAATGTATATTGTCTCCCTGACATTCCAAATGGACTAAATTCATTTGTGTTTAATCCAAGATACACATTCCGGCTATTGCTAGGGAAATCTGGATGTACTTTGTTAAAATGTTTCCAAGCTCTTGCATCTGATTGATGAGTCATCTCACCATCCATCTGAGTATGCTCGGCATGCCATCTCATCCCTCCAAGAGTCTCCTTAGATTAGTACAATCTTTTCAATCTATATATAATTGGTAGGTACAACATCATTTGGTACGGTATGCTATTACGCCATCGTCTTTGCAGTTTGAATCATGGCTTCTTGTAGAATCGACATTCTTTTAACTTCTCATCATCTCCCTAGTAAATCATACAATTATCGATGCAAACGTCTATCGTCTCCAAAGGCAATCTAAGACTATAAATAAATTTCTGAATCTCATAATAAAAATCTGCATACACATTATCTTCCTCCATATACTCATTGAACAAGTCTGTCCCTGCATCCATGCAATTTTCAGGTAGATTGTGCTCAGTATTAATATTCATCATTCTAGCAGCCAACGACATTTAGAGAGACCTTCTCTACAACCACTATAAATTGTCTGATTCGCATCATCTAACATTTTATAAAACTTTTTTGCATCTATGTTAAGTTCTTCAACTTCATCATGAGCTACAAATGCATCACCTACCATATCATGAACCCTTTCATAATCCACAATCTGCTCTTCCTGATGATAACTATTTTCATTATGCAAATGATCAACCGGTTCATCCTGATAATTGCTACTACTATTGCTAGCTTTATTCCCACAATTATAACCTTCACCATTGTGAATCCAAATATAGTAATGGGGTGTGAAACTTCTATTTACTAAATGCTTCCATACATTTTCACTAAGGCCCAATTTTGAATTGTTGCAATTCCGGCAAGGACAAAACATCTTACCGTTTTCCTGCGTGAGCGGTATAGAATCTGCTTGATGCATAAATGTCTCCACTCCTTCGAGAAATTCTTTCGCCACTCTCATGTTACTATCTTTGTGTGTATACATCCACTTCCGCAACTCGAAAATATTCCCATCACCAGACATTTTTTCTTTCACGTGTTCAATTTTTTTATTTCATGTTTCCAATCCTTTTTTGGTGTGTTTCATTTGAATCATAATCGAATTTTTTTTAGGAAATTTTAGAAATTGGTAGGTGACTTATTACTAGGAATTTATGAGGAAACAAAGTAGGTACGTCCAACTAAAAACACGTTTACAACTAAAACTTAGGTTGACTCTTTCTTTTGTCGTTAAAAGACGTAAAACGTTTCGTCGTAAAATACACGCAGATCTTACGTCTACTTTACGAGGAAAATCGAACTTTTCATGTAAAGTCCTCGTTAAATCACCGCTCTTTTACGAGGAAACATTTTTGTTGTTACTTTACGATGAAATTATGTTGACTTTTGCTTTCCTTGTAAAATACTCGTTAAGTGGACGTAAATTTACGAGTCTTCTTTTTCCTTGTTATATTTCGTAGTTTAAAATTGGTTTTCTTGTAGTAAATCTAGTACTTGTCTTAAAATTTGGTAGTAAGCGTGTGTGATTTTTTTGTTAAGAGTAAATGTTAAGATTCATACCAAATTTTCAGTTTAACAGAATTGCAAAGTAACTTATTACAAAGAGGAGAAAAGAGAAAAAGATACTAGGAGAAAGGAACACTAATGTAAATACAATTGTAACAGGAAACAGACCTTAATGAAATAGAGCGGAGAGTCGTCAGCCTGTCCCGAAGAACATACCGGATCTCTCTACAAGTTCGATGCCTCTTGGCAAAAAAATGCACAGTTCTTCGGAGGAGGCTTTATACTCAAAGACGGAGAAGGAAGAGAATCAATTGGTTCATTCGCTAGTAACCAAAAAGTCTCTCTCGTTCAAGCAGAATTTTGCACCCTCCTATGGGCTATGAACTATGCCCTTCTCCTTGGCCATCAAGCCATGATTTTTGAATCTGAGCGCCTACAGTTAGTTAACCTCCTCAATAACGAAGAAATGGAATAATAACCAGCTTTAATGGCCGAATCTGAAGAATTTCTACAGATTAGTTCTAAGTTCTTCTCTTGCTCCATAAACTTTATACCTTGTACTTTAAACTCTAGATCAGACTCTCTTGTGAAAGAAGCTCGAGCTCGTAATCGTGTATTCTCCCATGTTCAGGTTCCGAATGGGTTGGCTCAAACCAACTTTTTAAAACCACGATAATAATATATGGAGCTTTCGATGCCAAAAAAAATCATCAGCATGTCCCTCATTGTGCGGTCGACTAGGTTAAAGAAAGATGGTCCTGACATAACCTGATTTTGAAGATCCGCGCACATTGCACTCATAGTTTTTTATAAAAAAATTTACAACCCCAAACTAGTTTTGTTTTCTATTTCTTTTAGCAGGGCTGGTCCAGTATATGATGAGTGCATCTATAATAATTTTCATATGATATTGGTTCTTAAGGCATCAACTAGATCCCTAACTTAAATGAACTTTAACTTGTAATTCTGAACTTGGCAGGTACAGTCGCACAGACTGATGGTTACAAGCAATTGACGAAACAAGAAACTAAAGAAGCAAACTAGAGACTGAGCTTACCTGGTCCAAAGAGGAGTAATCATCAGAGATTTTGGAGTACTTGCGCTCCGACCTCTTCTTAACAGCATTGCCATGAATTTGAGAAGGCGGCTGAGAGTAAGGCTGAGTAGTAGTAGTGTATGATGGTAAGGAAGGTTGTGATGTAGAGTAACCAGAAAGAGAACATCATGATCAGAGGCCTCTTTCTACGGGAAAATACGCCATCTGACCCGAATTTACGCTCAGAATGGCGGCTGAAAGATATGAATCATACCATCAAATTATGAATGAATGAGCATACACAGACATAAAAATAAAAGGTTTCTACTGATGCAACTGGCCTTAGAATGACAACTTGGTTCATCTGATCCATCTTACAATCAATTAGCTTCGCAGTTATTGCCTTCACAATCCGTAGTTCAACCTCCTGTCTTCTTTTCCTGAAAACACAGAACAGTAAGCAACTAAAAAAATATTACCAATATTACAAGGTTTCTGATTTTGTATACCTGTAGAGTGTCTTTAATTGAGGTGTAAGGTATTTTGCCGGATTCATCTGACGCTAAGTGCACTAGTGACAACAATCTCATCTTTGCCGATTGGAATTCTCTGTGGGCATTAAGCCTCTGAGTAAGAAAGATCTTCAGCAGCTGGTAAACTGGTGCATATTTAGCATCTCTCTCTAGTTGTGCTACGGCTGGCAAGTCCAATAAATCACACTGCCATTACCGAATTATTGATGCAATATATAAGAGCTGTGTCAAAACAAGAAAGAAGGATCTTAGACATCCCAATGACACTATGATTTTACGAATTATGATACTGTGTATCACAACCTGTCTACTCCGATCATAGGCTGAGTAACATCATTCTCGGATTAAGTCTCTTGCTGCTTCCTTCTCAGCTTCTTCAATTACTTTCTCAACCTAATTTACAAAAGTTATGAAGGTGGGTTAAAATTCGATAAGCCAAGAACTCAAAAAGCTTGAGCCTTTTTTGTCATCGTTAGTAAATAACAATCAAACCCATATATAACAACTGAGGCTTATTCAATCGAATGAAACAAAACTACAAATGGTTAAACCTATATGATCACAGTTTATATAGAAAGGAGATAAAATTGGATCGAACAATACCTTTGATTCAACCTTGGAGGTGCGAGGGAGAAAACGACAGCCATCGTCATCCTGCAGAGAACACGAGAGAAGCGGAGAAGACGAGACAAACCAAAGAAAAAAAAAAGAGAAAAGAAAAGAAAAATAGAAAAATATATGCTGTAGCTTTCTTTTGCTGACACGTGGAGGAAAAGCCCCTTTAGTTATGATCACCAAAACCCTTTCTTAAGGATCCATAACACCCCATTTATTTAGGCTCTAACCGGTGACCATTAAAATAGGAATATGAATGAGTAGGAAAATAATAAGTAGGAATAAAATAAAATGAATGAAAAGGAATATTTATTACTTTGGTTCCATATCAATTTTGATAAGGAATGTTTTTGTTCTATAATTCTTTAGAATTCAATGAATGACATGGAATCATACGAATGAAATATTCCTTATGAATGGTGTATTTTTTAAAGAATAAGTAGGAATTGATTATTCCCCTTCGTTCCCTATGTTACCATTTAGACCCTTAGTTTTCATTTAATTAAATACTCTATTAACTGAATAACCCCATTTAAGGACATTGGATAAAAGATGCTCTAACAAAGTATTGCTTCTCTTGACTTCTTCCCCTCGCATGAATCCTCTTGACTTGGTCAATTGTTTTTGTTTTGTTGTTCCTGATTTCCCATGTAACCTATTGTCGCTGTACTGCTTCAAGAGTCGATGTACTGCTTCAAGACTCCCTTTTCGGGTTGAAAAATTAATATAGTTATTTTAAAAAAAAACTAACAAAGTAAAATGAGTAGTAGTAAAGATGAAAGCTATACATACCTTTTGTGTGTTTCTTCTTCGAACCTATTATTGTAACTTGAAATTGTCCTTTCATAGCTTCTCTTTTTTTTCTCTCTGCCCATAAGCTACAATGCTACAATTCTCTTTAAATCAAGCAAAGACAATAGAACTAAACAAACTAAAATTGGACCATATGGGTTAGAGAGAGAGAGAGAGAGAGAGAGAGAGAGAGAGCTTTTGGAGCTGCCCATTAGATTAGAATGTACCATGGAACTTTGTCAGCTTAGCTAGAGATAGGCACAGAGAGTACAATTTCAAAAAAAATTAAGCGTTTTTATCCTTCCCACTTAATTATCCAGTTCAAATTACAAAAAAAAAGATTCAAGATAAAATGATGAAACACTTTGCTTTATCGATTGGTCTTATATAACTAATATGAATGCGTATAATAAAAACCCGAGACGATATAAATATATAAATCTATTTATATATAAGCTTCATATACAGATACTCTTTCGGAACAAAAAGCTTAATAACATATTGAAAGGTGAGGGGTTTTCAACATGGTGACTAGGGCTCAAGAACAAACATGCTGAAACCAAACATCTTAAAACCAATACATACAATATGAGCCCGGTTAAGTTCCTCACGACACTGCTGTAATCTCCCAGTTGCAAAATTAGCTATTGTCATTTTTAAGTTTGAACTAATTCAAATGGAGGAAATGATAAAGGTAATTAGAGAAAATGGTTGTGAACATAAATGACTTATCTGACTAAAATTCTAAGGACTTCCCTTTCCTTTTATATTCTTCATCATCGCTTAGCTGCACAACGGAAGAAGACGATCCACCCATTTCGCCACGGGGCGATTTCCATGATGATTCATCATCTCTAATCACAACCGGAGAAGATGAAGAGTACCCAGCAAAGTCCATTTCGCCACGTGCCTCCCCTGAAGAAGAAGACTCCTCCAAATCGAACCCAAACAGCCTTAGCTTCTTCGCTGTCCCTTCCTGCGGCGGCTGAGAAGGATGAGAAGGCGGAAACATGGCCGAGGAGGAAGTCACCCTCGTCGGTGGAAAACCAGGATTGGAGTCATAAACGAACGGCTCAGATCTACCAGGATTCCACTGATGATGATGATGATCCAACCGTGATCCCGCGTAGTAACCCCCACCAGTAACAGTTCTACCATAAGGTCCATAACCGTACCCTAAAAGCTCCCTTTCTTGAAACTTGTTATGATAAAAAGGTGATAACCTCCCGTAACGCAGCATGGAATATTCCGTCACAGGATAATAACTAGCCGTTGGATAAGGAGGAGGCCCGAAGATCGGGTAATGATGATGATTAATGTTATGTACGAGGTTTGTGTTTGGTAAATGCCTCCAGTCGATGAACAATATTTCCCTTCGGTTCTCCGGTTCGTTTTCATCAGGGACGTAGCCACGGTGGAACGAGACGGCGTCTCCAGCGTCGAGTTTTTTCTCTTTGATGAAACGGCTCCATCCTTTGGTCATCACGTAGCTCTGGCTACTGTTCCAATACGAGTAACGAAACCTCCACATCTTGCCGTTTCTGTCTTGGAAATCCAACAGTGTGCCGGTTTGATTGTCCTCTAATGGAAAGTAGTTCTCTGCATATTGCTTTGGAATCACGAGCCGGTTTAGTTTCCCGACGTCGCTTGGTGTTAGCTTTTTCTCGAACATGGGCTTTCTCATCGCCGAGTTGAATTTGTTGTTGTTGTCAGAACCACTAGCTTCGTTCTCTGCTGGTTCTTGGTGAGTGCTCGCCCTCGTCGACATATCTATCAAAAGTATCAAACTTTGTTATATGGGTTCTTGAAATGATGAAGACCCATATCTAGATCTTGAAAAAGTAGTCAGCTTTCATTTATGAAATCTTAGTGGGTTAATGAGACGATTGATGACTAAATTCAGTTCAAGACCTTCGAAAGGTATCCTGCTTTTTTTTTTTGATAAAAAAAGAGTTCTTGACAAGAGTATTAACCAATTCAAGATCTTTCAAAAAGTATTCAGCCTTTATCTATGGATCTGATGAGTGATTCTTGACAAGATGATGACCCAACACAAAATCCTTTAATATTCGTGAGACCATATTTATCAGAAACCAAATAAAGCCACATCCACAATAGTAATAAATAACGGGTGATTTAATTCGAATATATTTGATAAATAAAACATTCGAATATTAGATGAAAGAATTGAAGATCAAGTGAAGAGCAAATAGAACCCTAGAATTGAGAAGAAAAAGACAGACGTACTCGTTGTGTTTGCTTCTTCTTAGATCTTTTCGTTGACTCCAAAAATATTTTTAAAAGTTGAAAATCACTACAAGAAAACATGGCTTATCCCGAGGAAAATTCCGACGGCCACGCAGTTCCTCGGAAAATTCCGATGGGATTCCGATGGAATTCCGACGAAACACAAATTTTATGTTTCCTCGGAATTCCGTCGGAATATTCCGACGACATTCCGAGGAACCTGTATTCCGTCGGGATAAACCGAGGACATTCCGAGGATAAATT